CAGGAATGGGTTTCTCAGAAGCTCAAGGAATAGGGAGTAATTCTGTCTCACTTCAGATTTGTCAAAGTTTTGCTGTCCTGGCTGAACTTCTGTACAAGTGTGATGACTCTCCTTAAATTCTTTGCCTCTGGTTTTGTAGTGTTAGTTTACAAAAAGTAATTCACAAGGGAGGTGTCTGGCAGAAGGTAACATACCTTGCTGAACTTCTTTTAAAACATTAAAGAAGTTCCACAGTGTTGCTGTGATGTTGGCGTTATTTCTGTTACATAGCCAGAAAGGCAGAGAAGTGACGTAGTTTACAGGAGGACACAGGAGCCCAGGATCAGGTTAGGCATTACAGCTTAATTATTCAGGCTGCTGGAGTATCAGTCTCTGGGTTGTGTATTGACAGTCATTTGTCTGCTTTCAAAGAAGTGTATTAATTCTGTTTCACATATTTGAGTAGGTATCATTTGGTACAGTGCTTGGGATCCAAGAGATCAATGTTCAGCCACCTCTGATCTGACCTCTGTTTGTGCAGCCAGAAATCCATGGAATGGGGGCGGAGGGAGTAAGGTACCAAAACCATTTAGCTGATTAAATAGGCCACTGCAGATTTTGTCTAATCAGGGGAAACCCTGGCATCTTGGCATGTGCATGTCCAAGAGTTTCATTTCAGTTACACAAAATTGAGGTGGGAGAAACGATCTGAATCCATTGAGGTAAGTACAGGCAGAAAGGGAGAGGCAGCTTTAAACTGGAAGCGTGGCCCTCAAAGACTACAGAACCCACCATGCATTGCTGTGTTTTAATAATCTTAATCAAGAAAGTGCCCTAGCTTGGTGGAATTGCAGTGTTGCCAGCATCAATTTTACTAAAGAAGAAGGTGGCTATGGGAAATCTGTAGGCCATTTCAGCTGGGCTCCCCTTGAATTAAATTTTGGCAAACAAACAAATGTGTGAAATGAGGGAAGGTGGTGATTGGGTTTTGGATGTATTCCAGTGATCCCTGCCTGGCAACGGACTGCAAGTACGCCAACAAATTCCACTTCCACTGTCTCTTTGGGAACTGCAAGTATGTGTGCAAAACCTCTGGCAAAGCAGAATCCCACTGCCTGGACCACATCAACCCCAACAATAATTTGGTGAATGTGCGAGACCAGTTTGCTTACTATTCGCTGCAGTGTCTCTGTCCGAACCAGGTAAGAGCAATTCAAAAGCAGTGTTCTAGCTGGAGTGGGGCGGGGGAGAAGAATGAGAAAGAGCAAGTAGATGACCCAGTTGGAAGTGAGGCTGAATGTTTCATTCCCGATCTAACTACGGAACCACAGAAGGGTTTTAACTACGTGCTCTAGCAAAATGTTTGGTTTCCATCAAATTAAAAATCGCAGTGCTTTTGTTTCTTTGACTTGGGTGAAGTGGACAAGGCAACTAGAATGATCTAAGAGACACAAGGCAAAATAAAATGAAAATCTATGATGAATACCAGGGAAAGCCAGGAGTTAGGTTTGGGATATTTCAACGTAGAATAGTGCAATACAGAATACACGACAGCAGTACAAAATACATGACAGGGAACAAGGTTGTGTTGCAGTTGTGGAAGATAAAATGGATGTGATCTAGAGTACCAGTTCAGGCATCTCTCGCGTGTCTCAGAGGTACAGCATTAGTAGCAGGCAGACGAGAGTGCATTTGGTTTAGACATGCTCAAAGCAACCTGCCTGTTTGCTCCTCTCTAGCACTGTGAATTCAGGATGCGAGGGCATTACCACTGTCTTCGTCCTGGCTGCTACTTCGTCACTAACATCACCACCAAGCTGCCCTGGCACGTGAAAAAACACGAGAAGGCAGAGAGAAGGGCAGCCAATGGCTTCAAGTATTTTACCAAGCGAGAAGAGTGTGGCAGACTAGGTAAGTTTTCTTCTCTTTCCCGTCACCTTTCTCATGTGGTCTGTCCCATGTCCATGCTAAGAATGCTTAAGATTGGTCATTAAATCACTAAACAAGAAATGGAACAAACAGAAAGCAGTTCCTGATCTGCCTGAGTTGAAGCATGTTTTCCCAAACAGACACAAGTTAAATGGATGGAAACTGTAATATGAAGATTTTATATACATTTTTTTAATATATATATTTGTCTGGCAATACAGCTTCCCCTTTGTTTTTCCTTTTTATCTAACTGTCAAGGCCTTTTATTTGGTTTGGGGGTTTTTTTGTACTTTGTAGGTTTGTAGGGGTTTTTTGGGCCTACTGCTTGTGTTGGGTAGAGTTTAAGGGTGCACTTAGTAAAAAAAGAAGCGTAGGGGAAATGCCTGTTCTGATGAGTGCCTTGTGTGAAAGTCTTCCTGTATTAAGGAAGTTGCTGCTTTGCCTGATTCCAGGCAAATGAAACTTTTTTTTTTTTTTTTTTTTTTTTTAGCCATTGCCAGTGCAGCGTATTGAAAGCCAAAGGGCAAATAACTGGAGACAGAGGTACAGAGAAGGGTATTCAATAAACTTACTCCCTTCTCCTCTGAAACCATTCTCCACGGCCACTTGTGAGCAGCGGGGAATACAGCTCTGTGTCTTTGTGCCAGCCTAAGGAAACACCTGAGCTGTGGCACAGCCTCAGACTGTGGCTTGCCCAGACTATGAGCAGCACCGCAGTAGATACTGAATCCAAGTGCCTCCAGTGTAGAACTGGAAAAACAAATGGACAACAACAGAAAGGAGAATGCATTCCTGGGGGGTTATCTAGAGCTGAAATCCAGGGCTCTGAACTGTGGGGAATCCCTAAAGATAGCTCCAGCAGAGCTCCATCCGGAACGGGCTGGGTTTCGCTTAACCCTTCCAGTGGTGTTTTTGGCTTAGCAGTATCACAGACCCAGTCTTCCCTCTCACTCCTGGTTGGCACAAAGGCTGAAACAAAACAGGGTTCAGAATAACACTTCAGGGTGCTGTTCTCTCACAGGGAAACAGCCACAATAACCAGAACCAAACTTTTCTTTTCAGCTTCAAATACATCAAGAATTCATACCCAAACGGTAGCTTGTTTGTGGTAACCGGGGTAATGGCGGTCAACACACCACAGCCAGAACTTACCCAGGTCTCATTTACACACGGCAGTAGATTCAGCAGTTGCTGTTATTTACTCAACTTTAGGTGTTTCAGGTGATAGCAGGGGCTAGACAAAGCAGGACAATGATACATGACACGCAGCCTACAGGATGCCCTAGCAACAGGCGAGCCTTCACCTGCCCTTTGCTGATACTGTTTCAGTCCCGCCAGCACTGTTTGTTCTCCCTGCCAGAGAAGAGCGCAGCGTGCTGGGGAGGGCAGGCGAGGCGGGGCTGGGCTGTGGGGGAGTGCAGTACCTCAACAAACACAAACTTGGCGTGCACATAAAGCGCTGTCCGTGCGCCGAGGAGGGGCTGGGTGGTTCGGGCGCCGTTTGGCAGCGAGGCACCTCCTGGCTGTGCATGTGTCAGCAGTGTTTATTTTGGGGAGCGATGGGGTACGCGCATCCCACAGCCTGTACGTATGCCTATAGGCTGGGCTTGCCGTGCACCGAACGTGCGTTTAGCCAGCACTGCATTTGCCTCTGTAGATACAGGCAGCACGATGGGATGGTGTAGCTGGATGTGTTTGTGTAGGGGTACGAGGTGATACCAACATGTAAATGCACGTCTGCTTCGCTGTACACCTCGATGCTTTTTGCATTGAGCGTGTATACATAGCAGGTGCAGACAGCACTGCCCTGCTTTAAGGGCTGAGAATGTTTCTGAGCAAACACACATACAACAGATTTTTTTTTATATATATATATATATGTTTGTGCATGTATAAATATATACGCACATGTACAGGTGCAGAAGGAGAGAGAGATGAAAAATACATATGTAAGGGTGGATGGGTGTAGACAGATGAGTAAAACTGAGCCTGTCTGTAGGTCTGTACCTTTGTGTGTATAAGGGTATGGCCAAGGGATGATGGAGAACAGACAGAACCTGATTCTTGCTATAGCTGTGTTTTAACTATGTAAGAAGCCATTCTTTATCAGCTATAGAATGTAGCTGTTCAGCTGTGTCTGTTAACGAGATACACAAACTCCTGGCATGCATGGCACTGTCCACGAGGAGCAAAATGGACCAAGTGCTGTATGCCAGAACCCATATAAATTGCTTGTTGTTTAGTAGGTGCCCCTATTACACAACAAATTGGGAGTGGCAATAAACACTCCCTGGCTCGTTTCTATCTGACCAGAGAGCATACACTGTTCAGAGCTAGAGCTTTTAAGATACTGCTGTTCTAAGAGCACAGTTAAAGGAAAAAAGAGAAAAAAGGAACTTTTCATTTCTAATCTAATTAGGAGCATGTAGTTTTGATTTTTAACTTCTATGATCCAGTTAAATGTCTTGGTTTTGTTCTCTTTGTGAAGGAAAAGGCTCTGGCTAAGAGTGGAGCGCAATAGGCACTACTAGATGTAATGGTAATGTTCCTTTATAAAAAAATGAAGAGGGATGGACTAGTCTGTAGCCCAGGCTCACTTCTTAAACCTATGTACACTGTAATCCTCTCTTGCAGTTGCTCAGCAGGCAAAAGATCATGCTTTTTTTTTTTTTTTTTTTTTTCATTCAGGACTGTTCCTGAAGAACCCATGACCATTGATAAGCTTCAATCCACCAGAAGTCCATGTAGCAACAGCCTTGTCCTGTCTCCAGATCATCCCCTTCCCTTCTTGTACCTTTCATGTACTACATACAATGGTTTTGTGTTTGCAGGTTGCAAATACAACCAGGTGAACAGCCACTTCCACTGCATTCGAGAGGGCTGCCAGTTCTCCTTCCTGCTCAAGCACCAAATGACATCCCACGCCAGAAAGCACATGAGAAGGATGCTGGGGAAGAACTTTGATCGTGTTCCTACTCAGGTAACTCACTGGTTATTTCAGTTGTAGATCTGCATGTAGGGTTGGTCCCTTTGGTTGCTTGCTGCAGAACTGCTTTAGTGCCAAGACACTTGTACCCACACTCTTAAGGATGTCTGTCTGCACTGGGGGGATGCAACTGGGCTATGCAAGTTCAGCCAAGGTAACTTTACCTGGTTGGAATTCTCCAATACGAGGAAAGTTAATGAAGCATAGACATCAAAGCATTACTTGGTGTAAACAGCTTTTCCTTGGGAATTACGGAGAGAAAAAACCCTAATACTCATATTGACAACTTGCACTCCCTCCCTGCTCTCTCAATACACACCAGTTCGCTTATTAAAGTGCTTAGGATGTGGCAGAACTGAATGTGCTGGTTAAAGCAAACATTTCCTGTTGCAGATAAAGTATTATTTTCTGCTTCCACCCAGGATGGGAGAAATACCAGTCTCGAAATTTCCCTTCCCTTATTGATCTGGAGTTAGTTTGGCCACTCCTTGTCCTCGCTCAGGAAGTAGCAGAGCAACACAGTTCCTTCTTTTCTAACACATAACTGAGAGCAACCAGCAGGTTATGTTTGTCTGTGTCATGAATAAACTGAAGAGTTTCAACTGCAGCACTGAGCTGCTGCTCGCAATGGCAGCAGTCCTGCAACCTCCTGCTGCTTACTCCTTGGCTGCTTTAACTTCCATCGACCTGGGAGATGAAACAAGCCGGCTTTATTTAAACGCCTGTGGCTGCTCTGACCCTAAGGACATCCTCTGGTATATGGAAAAACAGAAGGGGCCATCTGTAGAAGCAAGATGGGAACCCCCTTTCATTCCACAGCACAGGAATGGGAGGTTCCTGTTAGTTACTAAGTACTGCCAATAAGTTAATTGCTCAAGTCTACGGCTGTTGGATTTAATGAGTTCACAGATGCCAAGGAACTGGTGTTACTGTTGTGGTAGCTTTTGTTCTTAACACAGAAAATTTAGGTACAAGAATCAAACTTTGGGGAGATTTAACAAACAGATTTGTCTTCACTACTCTTCTAGTACCTGCTGAGTCTAGCCCTAAGAATTCTGGTATGTGCTGGGCAGAAAATGATATGCTGACCTCCTTCTCCTTTCACTGGCAATTTAATCCTGTGTCACTTCAGTAGTGGAGAAGTAGTAATTGTGGCCTGAGCAATCATGGCAGAGCTCACCAGACTGCTGTACTGACACTGCCTTTCTGCATTAAATGTACTACCTCCAGTTTCTAGCATGCCTTGGTGCTCAGCAGGCACTTACTGCCGTGTTTGGAGATACATTGCTTCTGGGTACCCACCCATGTAACTATGCAGGGAAGACCATGCTGTGCCAGGCCACAAAGCTGCATGTGAACCCAGCCTACCCATACGTCACTGGTTCCAGTCTGGGTTCCTCTGTTGCAGTGTCTCAGCATGCAGGCACTAGGACTGTCGTGTCAGTCGTCATATTTCCAGTCTCAAATGCAGCAGGACCTACACAGTAAGGTAGTAATGCCAAGATTAACACCTCCTGGTTTTGAATGCATCAGAATCCACACACCAGGATACTGGTGCCAAGATTAACACTCCCAACCTCTGAGCACATCACAATTCACATACCAGGCTACATGTGCCAAGTTTAATGCTCTGAGCTCCCAATGAAGGAAGATTCAGGCTCCTAGCCACAGTGCCATGGGTTCCACTCACGAGCATGTTCCAGCTATCCCTCATGAACTGTGACAGAGAGAAATAAACGTGCAGACAGATGGTTTTGGTCTTGGCATCTTGCTTTTGGTGTGAAAGTCCCCGTCCTGTTTTCTTGCTGCAGGTTATTGGCCACACTCCAAGAAATGAAAATCTCCCCCAGGTTGGCAGCATGGCACCCAGCCCAGCCTCATCAGGAACCCCAGCTTCCTTTCAGGGACCCCCAAGCATGATGGACACTGAAACAGATGAGTACATGGATTACACTGGCTGTAGCCCTGGGGGTATCTCCTCTGAATCTTCCAATATGGACCGCAGCTGCTCCAGCACTCCAGTGGGCAATGAAAGTACATCAGCAGGTAAGAGAGAAGGGGTGGGGTGGGGTGAAGTGGATTATCACTTGCCTGTTCTCTTGGGAGAGAAACCCATGAAGAGAGGCCAAAGGACAGTTGCACCTTAAAGTATAAGCTGTACCAGCTTCACAGTAGTGCCTCGTACTAACCTAGTTCCCTCCATCATTTGTGAGAAGAGATCCATCAAAATGTGCACCTCGAGAATCCATGAACTAACAGCGTATCTTTTTCTGATTTAAAAAAAAAAAAAAGAGGGGAAAAAAAAGTTGCAGGCCTCTTCCATACTTGGCATTTCCCCTGACAGCTTTTTGTATTTCCTTGTGCAGCATCTGAAGTAAGTCAGGCACTTGCTGATACTGTTGAGGTACAGAAAGACTATACAATAGCAAGTATTATATACACAGGGGAAAAAACCTACTACATCTTCAGAAAGCTACATATAAAAGCAGCTCACTGAGCTCCCTTCCTCATGCAAAAACTCTTGTTCCACTTTGTGCAGTGTTGCACAGAGACCTCCATCATCCCCTCTTTTTGGAAGTAAGTTTCTGCCATTGTTTCCCATTTGCCAGGATAACATGTAGCCATCTCCCACTGCCCTGTATTACAGGGTTGTCTTTTCAGTAGTCAGATATCTTTTATGAATTCTGTTATCGTCTAGCAGTGATCCATGGATCTCTTAGCTGTCCTTCCCAGGGTTAAGTGGTTCATTCTAGATTGCTGCCTCGCTGAGTTTGCTTTAATTTTGTACACATTTTCCTACTTTTCTTTCCCACAGCAGTTACATGAAGGTTATCATATAGCACATCTAACCATATGCTGTGTGAACACTGCTGGTCATGACAGGGGTTGCCCCATGGCATTAAAGCTGCTCCAAAGAGTTCTGGTGGGACAGTGTCAGTACTTTGTCAGTACGTCATCTGGCCCAAGTCACACTGCCCAGGAAATGGCCCCCCACTGCTATGCAGGTAGTGAGCAACTCCCCCCGCCCAAAGTGTGAGACCACCCTCACAGCTATTTGTTGGTCCAAGCTGGCACCATATAGAGGAACAAGGACCAAACAAGCAGGAATTTCTGCATGAAAGCCTGTGGCTCTTCCCCCATGCCACTAAACCCACCTTACCTTCCTCAGAGACAACCCTCCTCTTCCTGTCAGTTCCTCACCTTCTGTTTCTTCTCCGTTACAGTTTTGTTTCATACATTTGTGAATGTATTTTCCATTTTTCATCATATTGCTTCTGCTCTTGGGTTCTCATTTCAGTTCTTTTGTTTTTTGTTTTGTTTTGGTTTTGTTGTTTTGTTTTGGTTTTGTTGTTTGTTTTTTTTTCTTTTTTTTTTTTTTTCTTTTTTTCTGCTTTTTTTCTCTCCACATTCTCCAGGCTGCCTGGTTCCTTCTACTGCTACTGCTGCTGCCGATGATGCTACCCACAATGCACCACAACCTCAACCACCATCTCTGCCTCCATCTTTCTCACAAGCCCTGCTTAGGTCTCCCCTTCCCACCCTCCCCTATCTTTTCTCTCCATCTTGTCTCTCATACTCTCTGCTCAGTGCCACTCTTGGATCCAGCAGAGGCATTGTCATGCCTGCCGCCAGCACCACTGGGTTTTCGCCCATCATTGCCACTCCAACTCCAGTAAAAAGTGACGTTCCCTTAGTTCAGGATGCAGCAGGTAACACTTCTTTGCTTTCTCTCTTAGTGTCCCGTGCCCACCTCCTTCCCCGCTCACCCTGCCCACATTTTTTTCTCGGCACCTTTGGGTCAGTAAAAAAAGCGTACGTCACTCTGTCTTGCTGAACTTTATCCAAGGGCCTGTCCATGCCTACTCCTTTTGTCTGTGACACAGTAACCACAGCCAAGAAGGGTAACCAAAACCACAGCAAATCACTGAGAGACATTCGGATACCGAGAGCAATTCCCACCAATTCCAATCTATGAGAGAAATCGAACAAAATCCATAGTTAAAATACACTTTCAGCCTCTTGATAACAGCAGGGTGGCCACAAAGCCAACTTTTGCTCCTGTAGCATTAATGGGACTTGGAATTCTTGTTTAGATCTTCCAGGCCACCAAACCCAGGGCCTACCGTAGTCTGCTGCACACATCTCAGCAAGTCAGTGTCTGACAAGTACCCAGTTCCCATGGTTTTATCAGTCTTCACGGCTTCCTATGCATACACGAAGCCATAGAATTCAGGGCTGCTTTCCCCAGCACAAGTAACAGAGTGAAGTACAGTCACTGTCACTACGATGACATCATCAGACAGCTCAGGCTGTTTCTCACACTCACTGTTATTTATATCTGCTCTTAACAGCTGCAGAAAATACATCTAGATTTTTAGTTTTAAGCTGCCATGTTTCCCATGTGTGACTAAGATCAGAGATGTCTCAGGCTGGGGATTCTCATTCCAGCTGGGAATGTTTTTTAGGGTGTGTCTCAGTTTTGGCTTCTTTTCCCAACTCCCAGCTCTTTTCTAGTTAATTAAGGGCATATTTGTGCTTAAAGCTCACACTTAAGAGGGTTCTGTCAGCCTACAAATGTCCCAGTCATTCTTCTTGCCAGTTTTAGTAATGTGCAAATCCAAGGTAAAAGATTGGGAGTATGGCTGGAGGAGCAGCTCCACTTGGAAGTTCACAGGTTTTTCTCATGGGACATGGCAGGAGAAGGATCCTTGCCCTGTCCGGAGGAGTGTGTTCCCATGAACAAAATTCACAAGAAACTATATTTTTGCGTATTTTATTTTTTAAGTGATTTGCATGCAACCTGAAACATCTTAACCTCGTGCTGTGTTTTCCTCTACTTATATATTTTTAAGTTTCGTTTCTTTTTACCTTTGTATAGTTCTGGTAATGTTTACGTTAGTAGTAGTTGACAAGACAAGCTTATGGCATGCACTTACCATTGAGATTTGTTTGGGATTACATGTGTTGAGGCTTTTAATCTTCAACTGGGTGCTAAGGACCGGATGTTGTCCAGTGGCTAAAGGAGGAGAGTGTACCAGGTTATCGTCTCTCTTTTTCCTGCCCTCGCTCTGAAACTTTGTCTGTATGAGAAAACAGAATTGGTTGAACTAAAGTTTTATGCACATCTGTTTGAACGGTCGTAAAAGCTGGGCACAGACATTGAGTTTAAAACAGATAAAATTTAAATCCTACTTATTTCCCAGACTCCCCATCCAGAGTCTTTCCCCTAAGATGGCTTATCCCATACTCCTGACTGAAGGCAGACAAGACGAGCATTCATACTAATCACAAAAGACTTGATGGTTTGGCTGTAGTGTTTTTTTTTTTAAAGGAGGAGTTGATCTGGATAGCAGCGATTTGTCTGGGCAACGATGCACTTAGACTAGTCGCCTGGAAGCGGAGAACTGGATTTTACAATACCAGATGTTTAGGAGGGGAGCAGAGAGTTAATTGGTCACAGATTCTGTAGCTGAGAGCTTGCTCATTAAAAACCTACAGCGACAGAAAGTTATTCTTTCACTGGTAGCTGGTTAAATTTGCCTTAACGTGCAGTTTCCACGCGCTGCATGTCACTCAGATGGTCTCACCGTGGACACCCCAAGCTGGCATCCTTACTTCAGTCTGAGCAAACGTGCCGTGTGAGGAGTGGGGGTGGGGCACCCTTTGGTTCCCTGCTGGTCCTGCACTCTGTATAGCCCGGCCGTGCGAAGGATGCGGGAGGTCGGGTTGCTGCTGCCATGTCCGTTGGCTTCTGTCTCTCAGCACCGTGCCAGGTTAACTTCTGGAGGCTTCCTCCGGTGGTCACCACCTGCTCTTAAAGGGTTGTCATTGGAAGGGCCAGATATGGCAAAAATAGCATTCATCGCTTTTAATACCTGCTTATCAGCCAGGAAAAAAATAATTCTACAACAGTCAGATGACTGTTTCCTCGGTCTCCTAGACAAGGATGCAGGCTGCTCTGGATTCTCAGGCCCCAGGCACTGCGTGTCACAAATCATGCCTCTTTTAAGGGGATGGCAGTTTCAGCATGAAGAGAGGCAAAAAAAAAAAAAAAAAAAAAGTTTTAGTTGCAAGCTATAATTTCCAGTTACACTCACCATTCTGCACCTGGTGAGACATTCTTGCCTCCAACCTTGTCTGCGCTGCATCTTGATACTGGAGATTGTGGTTTGATTCTGAAAATAGCAAGCAGAGAGGGAAAAAAAGTTAATAGATATAATGAGGTCGAGTCCTTGATGTCAGCTTGATCCTAGGGGACATGAGCACTAGCCAGTTGTGCTGGCCCTGTGAATGGAAGTGGAAGATAGATGAGGGCTCTTTATTTACTAGGGGTATCATGTGATTTTTGAGACCCAAGGGAAAGCTGTAGAACTGGTATTTTCTCTCAGAGTCCACTGGCTAGTGATGATGAGAATTAGCCCCATTGAACATCTGTCCATCTGTCTTTCTAAGTGCACTCATCGTAATATGTAGGCTCATTACAGTGAGGGATGTTGCAGTCTCCTGGCCAAAGTCCATCCTATTTCTATAAATTCCCCCCCTTGCAGTTTTAATCACGCATGGGATCTTCCTTCACTTCCTGCCTGTCCTTGGCAACTGCACTGTATTACAAGAGCCTGGATAGGGGAAAGCAATACACACGTACCAGTTTTTAGCAGGCTTGAACTGTTTTACCGCTTCAACCCCAGTGAACTACAATAACACACCTCAGTGCTCGGACTGGAATGAGCCAGCTCCTCTGATTTGAGGAAAACAGGACTAGGGATTAACTAAGGAGAAACTGAGAGCAGCAAAAGAGAGGAGCAACAGTTAGCATTTGGACAGTATCAGGTACACCAGAGCAGCAATTAGAGGCAAGGCAGGATATGCTGAAAATTCGGGAAGCGATGTCCAGCAGGCATCAGCCAGCCCACGGGCGCCGAGTTCGGGCTTACTTAGAGCTGGAGGGATGAGCTGCTGGGTGGGAACAGTTGCAGCTTTGTGTCTTGGCAGATACGGAGCTTGCCAGGGTGGTTAGGAGCTGAAGAGAGACCTGGCTGTCAGCAACACCACTCTTCACTTTTTCTCCTCAGGGAATACCATCACTATGCCAACTGCCTCAGGGGCCAAAAAGCGCTTCTGGATCATTGAGGACATGTCCCCGTTTGGCAAGCGCCGCAAGACCGCATCCTCGCGCAAGATGCTGGATGAAGGGATGATGCTGGAGGGATTTCGGCGCTATGACCTCTACGAGGACTGCAAGGACTCCAGCTGCCAATTCTCTCTCAAGGTTACCCACTACCACTGCACGCGGGAGAACTGCGGCTACAAGTTCTGCGGCCGTACCCACATGTATAAGCACGCCCAGCATCACGATCGTGTTGACAACCTGGTATTGGATGATTTCAAACGCTTCAAGTCTTCACTGAGCTGCAACTTCCCAGACTGTCAGTTCTCTGGCAATAGCACACACTTCCACTGTCTGCGCTGCGGCTTCCGCTGCACTGACAGCACTAAGGTGACAGCCCACCGTAAGCACCACGGCAAGCAGGACGTCATCAGCGCGGCTGGCTTCTGCCAGTTCAGCTCAAGCGTGGACTGTGAGGTGCCTGACTGCAAGTACAAACTCAAGTGCTCCCACTTCCATTGCACCTACCCTGGCTGCAAACACACGGTGGTGGGCATGTCACAGATGGACTCGCACAAGCGCAAGCACGAGAAGCAGGAGCGAGGGGAGCTTCCTGCCATCTCTCCCGGCCCTGAGGGCCTTGCCCACTCCACTCTCGACTATGACATCCAGAACTCTTCCATCAACCTGGACAGTTCCCTCAACCTCAGCACTGACAACAACAGCTCCCTCTTCTTCCTGCAGAACGCGGCTGGCGTGGGCCTCAACGATTCCCTGGACCTCAGCAAGAAGCAGGCAGAAGTCACTGAAGGTCCGTCACCGAGCAGAGCCGGGACCACACCTCAGGAGAGGGGCGCAGTGCCATCTGGCTCTGGTGATGCGGAGGATGAGGATGACTCTTCCCAGGAGGATGAGGAGGACGATGAGGAGGAGATGAATGAAGAAGAGGAGGATGATGAAGAGGAGGATGACGACGATGATGAGGAGGAGGAGGATGAAGAGGAAGACTTGAACACAGATTCTGAAGAATCGCTGGCTGACCCTGAGGGCCTGGCCACTAAAGAAGATGGAGAACCAGAGGAGGCTGCTTCTTCCACAGACCATGGCAATGCTTCCAGGCCACAGGGCGAGCCAGCCCTCACTACAGCCCCAGCTCCTGCTCCACGCCCCCAGCCTCTACCATTGCTCCAGCAGCTTCTCCTTAACCTTAGAGACAACAGCGGCAGTGGTTTGGTTTTGCTCTTACACAGAATTACTAAGAGGACCCCATACGAGGCAAGAACAAAGATTGGGAATGGCAAGTGACAAACAAACTCCGTGCCACACACGAGAGAGAGAGAGAGAGGAAGGAAACCCATGCTCCTCCACCGGCCCCATGAGAGAGACAGGTTCGCAGCAGGACTGGTGCTGCATCACTTCATTCTGCAGATCACAGAACACGGGGGCAGGATGCAGCAAAAAAAACCCCTTTTATACGGACATGAACCTTGAGGGTACCAGCTGCTTTTCCTTGCTCCCTGCATGGTGCGTGGGGCCCGTGCCCATCTGGGGACCCTTTGTTATGGGTGGGGCTCTATCCCCCCATTTTTCTTTCTGGGTTTTATTTTTTCCATGTTTTCAGTTGTACGATATTAATAATAATCTCCACTTCTTGGAGGGGGGTGGGTGGGAACAACAGGTAATGAATTTTAGAAATATATATTTGTGTGTGTGTCTCTCTATATATAATGTACACACACACACACATATATAAAATTCAAGGAATTGGTGTCGCAAAGACAACTAGCTCAGCTTTTGCCAGTGGGAAGGAGGGGGTGAGGGGTGCGCGCGCTCTCTCTCTCTCCACCCCTCCCCCCTTCTTTCTCTAGCATTAAATGAATGGCATCAGACAGCAAGGGTGGGAGTGGGTATTTATTGTCACATAAATGAGGACGCATTAATGAATGAGCAGGGGTGGGAATGGGACCTCCTCTGTTCTTCCAGATCCTTTTTACTATTAATGATAATAATTTTGAATGCTATTTATATTGTAAAACTTTCTCAGTCTACACTTTCTCTGTAGGACACCTCTCCTCATCCCTGCTGTTCTGCCTGTAGGGATTTAGCTGAAGTAACTTGGGAAGAACACAGCAGGCAGTTAAAGGGTCTGTCACACTGGAGGACTGGGGTTCATCTCCCATCCGGTTCCATCTCATCCCAACCCCCAGGTGCTTCCTCTCTGTCGAGGGTGAGGCGTTTTTGTGGTGCTTCAGTATCCCCATCTCAGGAGGTTGTGAGCTGATGCTCTGTCCCACGGTGC